CTAGCAATGCAAGCTTATACTCCAGTATTTTTATAATTAGACTATATTCTGCGTATAAGTTTATACTTCAATATTTCCACAGTTATAGGTTCATACTGTGTACACCTAGCAGTGGAAACTTATATTCCAGTATTTTTATAATTAGAACTATATTCTGCGTACAAGTTTATACTTCAATATTTCTACAGTTAGAGGTTTATTTCTCATATGTGTAGAGATATAGGTTTAGATATTACTGTTCTACAGTTTGAAATATCTCTTTAGTGTTACATTTTTCTGTACCACTTTAGTTAAAGAGCATCTCTCTGGTTTATTCCATTCAGTTTTACAGACAACTGTTATTCTTAAATTCAAATTTAACTATTTATCACCGACAGTTAGGAGTAAAAAAACACTGCCCCAAATCTTTAAGAGTGTTGATTGAAATATAAGTTGATAGATGTGATGATTAACTTGGTTATGCGCTTTAATATTTTCTATGTATTTACATTTCCTTATTTACCTGCCCTGAATACTTCGCCGCAGCCGTCGCATCTCGTAGCGAAGGTGGCATCGTAGCAACTTGAGCAGTAGACTTTCTCTGCTTTCGAGCCAAAGGGTTTGTCCACAAGCGATACCCTGCACTTGTTACACAGAAAGCATGCTTCATGCCAGTGTTTGTCCTTATAGGACAGGTCCTAGGGGCGAAAGAAAATTAACTGTATATAGAAACTTGCAATGGTTATAAAATTTTAAGAACAACTGTTACAAAGGTAGTCTTTTTTATTTCGAAGTAGACGTGAAACATTGATGGAAATCTTGTAATTGGCTTAAATATGCTAAGGTGAAACAAGTATAAATCCCCATTATTTTGAATTTTGAGGTACTAGACTTTAGAAAAAATTATTATAGATTATCTATTGTCAGTGTTTGTTCGGGGGTGCTGCTAAATAATGCACTATAAACGTTAAATAATGTTTGTTATAGATTATGATTATCGGTGTTTGTTCGTGGAGATGCTCATAAGTACGAACGATATAGAGGTTGAATAACATTTATTATACATTATTTAGTGTCAGTGTTTGTCCGTGAACGTGCTCATAAGTACGTGTGCTATAAGCGTTAAATAATATGTGTTATGGTTTATGTGGTGTCAGTGTTTGTATGTGGAAGTGCTACAAACGTTAAATAATGTTTATTAGAGATTAAGTAAGCTCTAAACCTAAGACAAAGAACTGTAATCGCCATCCATCTAATTGTATATTGTTTTGTTTATCGTTCGTGATCTGTGGAATGGAATGATTTAATGAAAAATATGATGGTACATTCGATCTGTAGATCTTTAAACGCCATAAAAAAAACACATTTATAACGTAAGTGTAAAAAACAGAATCGTACTAATTAAAAAACAAGTTCAAGTAACACAGTTGTTTCTTGGGTATTTTGGGACCTCTGCGCACAATTACGAAAACACAAAAGAATTATGCTCTTTGTATTCTGAAAAGTTAGAAGATCCAGTTATTATTTATGGTTTTGAAGAACAAGAGTGTTTTGTAAAACAATTTAAAGAAAACTATTCACTGAATGGATTAACCGAACGTGTTCTGGTATGCACGTTATACACACAGAGAGAGAAAGATATACAACTACGCGTGTTTAATACGTTATCGTTATCACGACTATATGGTTATATATTCGTGCTGCTTAAAAACTCTCCGACTATTTCAGCCTGTCTGCGCTTCAGTTTAGAGATAAGTGATAGGACTGGTGTTGGAGGAACAGGTGCAGAACGTCAGGAAGCTGAAACAGAACCAGCAAGCAGTTGAGGGAACATATTTGAGTCCAAGCGGATTGAATTTCTGTTTCCTTTTATATCCATGCTGTTGACCTAGGCACGGCCTGGTGGTTAGGGCACTTGATTCGCAATCTGGCTTCCTTCTAATTTATCACTTCTAAGTTAGGGACGGCTAGCTCAGATAGCCCTCGTGTAGCTTTGCGCGAAGTTCAACAAAACAAATAAACAAACATTAAGTTCCGACATAAGTTTCTCCTGCACTAAGATCGTCAGCCACATTCTCCGAAGGAGAATAAGAAAAAGAAGAGAATTGGCGTATAACACAGCTGCAACGTGTCACTCATGTTATGTGTTTTAAAGTATAACACACTGCAAAGTGTCACTCGTGTTATGTGTTTTAAAGTATAACACACTGCAAAGTGTCACTCATGTTATGTGTTTTAAAGTATAACACACTGCAACGTGTCACTCGTGTTATGTGTTTTAAAGTATAACACAGCTGCAACGTGTCACTCG